AGGCAATCAGCTTAGGTGCTTCTAAAAGGACGCCTTGAGGATATGACATATCTGTTGGCACACTTCAAACCAGATGAGAAAGTGCGGGCTTGGTTTAGGGCTGCAAGCCAATGCAAGTGACTGTTCAGCCAGTTGGTCAAGCTTTGTTTTGCGCTTGGCATCTGGGCGTTTCCTAAACTGGAGCGACCTCTAAGCCGTGTGTTTACATGTGTTGTTGCCAGAGCAAGACCATCTCTAGCGCGCTAGTGTCAAGTTGGAGCTCGAAACGCACATCTCTCGGTTCGGATCCGCTACTTCCAGTCAGTGGTTATTGGACCCCCTCACTCTCACGGTCACCATCCATGCTCCCAGACTCCACTGTGGGCTGCAGGGATTCCTCCAGGGTTTGCCTTGTGACCCTGAGGGAGGAAACCACGTGCGCGCCGCCTTCGTTTTAGGATCTGGCCTCTACGCGCATGCCTGGGGTGCACAGACCCGCCGTCGCTTGTTGGGCAGGACAAGTTCTCGAAGCATGTGGTGCTGAAGCGCCTCGAGAAGGGCGAGACGTTGGCCTTCCAGAACAATGCGCAGGCCACACGTCGTGGGTGATTTTCTGAGCTGCCCAGTGGCACCCTGTCACCCATCAAGCAGGTCCCTGACTTAGGGGATGGGTCCTTTGGGCAAGCAAGGATTTCGCCAGCGACTTCGGGTCTTGACGGCTTTTTGGGAGCGGCTGGTGTCTTGTCAAGGCTGTTTCAGGCCAAGAGAACGCCTCGCCAAATGTCTGGGGAGCGGTCAAGCTTCTGAAGCCCATTTGACAACAAGACGGCATGTGACAAATCTGTGGATGCTCCCTGTTCGCGGCTTTCCGCGGACAAAGAGGAGACCACATGTTTTTGGCATCCCGCCGATCTTGAGACGTGCCCAAATAGCCTTGGGGGAAGACTGGCAGTGTGGAAGCCGCTTCCTTCAAAGAGAGCTCCTTTCTAGCTGGCGTTGAAGGGAGGCAACGGAGAAACCTGCAAAAACGTGTGCGCACACTGCCGAGCGTCGACTCAGTTCCCTCGTGCCTCTTGCTCAACCATTTTGGTTCATTTTGGTTCTTTTCCTCCCATCGGTTGGGAAGGACGCCGGTCGCGATGGCCTTTCCAGGCGGGTTTCTTCATTCGACGGTTCATGGACTTTGTGCGGGAGCAACGGCAGGCTGCGAGCGTCATGGGCTCCCTTTTGAGACGTGTCAGAGATCTAGACATGTGCATGCGCATGGCTCACTAGATCAATGGCAAGGACGGTTCAAGCTTCTCAGCATGCCACACTGACTGCCTGACATTGGACCTTTCAGGGGTTGGCGTCCCAAGGTTTTGCCAAGCCACGTGGCGTTTTGGTACATGACTTGTTTTCAATGCATCGGACAAGCATGGCGCCACTTGATATCCGTGCTCTTTGCTGCCATCCTTTTCGGTCAGAAATTGGCTCGCGTGTAGCCTGAAAGAAGCAAAAAGGTAGTTTGGAGACAGCTTGAAGCTGATGCCTGCTTGCCAACATCCGGACGGTCCCATACTGCCAATTCACCCAAAGCTTGCCCGCTGACGACCCATGGTGGCAGGTCTTTTGACCAGGGGATTTTTGACATCCACGTTTTGCAAGCGCTCGGGTTCCATGCTGGAAGGGTGCCAGCTGTTGAGAGGTGGCCTTTGGCCCCTCACGTTTCCTTTCAAAGCTTTCGCGGCTTTCGCCTTACATCCAGATTGGTTCATTGAGCCGTTGCGTGCGGCTCAGGCAGGCGACACCTCCGCCTCCCTGCTCTTTGCGCGGACGAAGCCCAAAGCCTCCGCGACCCTTGGCGAGCAACACCATGCGCTGGCAAAGCTCAATGTTAGCAAACCCTTTGGCTGGAAGAAAGGCGTTCCTGGGATTTCGTGGGCCTCTATGTTTGGCAGAAGCTTCTAGCCGCTGGATAGGAAGGAATCCGCTTGCCTGACCTTTGTGTCCCCTTGCCTTACAGGCCACCTCAATTCTCTGATTTGGTGGCACCCTTTTCCCTCGTTTGGTGGGTTGCCCGAAAGTGGTTAATCATGTTGACCCAAAAAGGGTGTGTTTGTTCTTCCAGGGTCATTCACGGGTGCGCGCCATGTTGCGAAGTCGCGTGTTCCAAGGAAGGGTGCCGAAAAGCCCGAGCCGGAGCCGGAGGCATCCATTGTGGACGAGTCTGTGAGCCTTGATCGACTTCAGATTCTGAAGCAGCCACACTTCCCGCCTTTCCAAGAGGGCGGGGCGCTTTTCAAGAGGACAGTCTTTCAAAGCCCTCTCAGCTTGCAGGATTCTAAGAGAGGATTGGTTTGGGCGCACGTGCGGTGTTGCTTCTGCAAAGGCTTTGGCAAAATAGGGGCCAGGGACCTGCGTGTAAACGGGCCTACCCAAAGCACTCCCTTGTCAAGGGCTAAGGCTTATGTTGGTCAACTTGGCCAGAATTAGGCTCATCACTCCCAACTAGTCTATCCCCAGATAGCTGAAAGCTATAGGAATTCTAACTTCTAATACAGAGGGAAAGCGATTTGCGAGACTGACGGGCTGGTGCTAGGGGGCGTGCAGTTTGGAATGCTGGTGTAGGTGCGGTTTGGGGTGCTGTTTGGGGTGCTGTTTGGGGTGCTGTTTGGGGTGCTGTTGGGGCGCTGTTGGAGGTGCTGGTGAGATTGACGGCTGGGTGCTAGCGGGCATGCCGGGTGACGGTGTGGGCGCGTTTTTGCAAGATTGACGGTAGGGTGCAAGGGGGGCATGAAGTTTGTTGTGGTGGTTGTGGTGGTGTTTTGGGATGCTGTTTGGGGTGGTGTTTGGTGATGGGGTGCTTGGGGGTGCTGTTTGGAGGGCGGGTGCATTTTTGCGAGATTGACGGCCGGTTGCTATTTGGGGCGCTCTTCGGGAGGTGCTGTTGGAGGTGCTGGCGTACGATCGTCGGCATGCTTTTCGCTATCCGGGGTCTATGCTGGTGTAATTTGGGGGGAACGGTATGTGAAGGCTTCTCGCGGCTTTTTCCGGCGCAAGTGACTTTTTGCATTGGGTTGTTGTGTCGCAACAACCATTGCAGTGATTGCAGTGTTGTCCAATGCACAGCAAGCTCAATCGAGGAAGGGAGCTCGCCCACAAAGCTCTCTTAAAGTTGTGTTGATTCGGTTCTTGGAGTCTAACAGCACCTTTTGGACACCGACTTGGCTTTGGACGCAGAAACGGCATTGTAGGGAGAGTGCTCCATGAAGGATCCTGGGTGCGCTTCTTGCTTTATGTTAACAAAACACGCACACAAACAAACGCAATTGTCCCGTGTCAGCTCAAATCTAACCCCACCCTGGAAACTCAGCTTCCTTGCCGTGCGTTGCCTGAGGTACACTCGGAATCGCTGCTTCCGCGTGCTGTTCAGCACAAAGCGCCTTGGAACAGCCCCCTTGTGGGAATCTCGCTGTGGTATAGCGGAAAGGGGCGCATCCATTTTCTTCAAGCACACACGGAGGGCCGGATTTTTTGGGGAACCACCTGTAGTAACAAGTAATAAGTTAGAAAGGGTCATTACCATGCACCTGATTGTGTTGAAACAGTGGAGTCGCCTGGCTCACTCAGGTTCGGCAAGAACCGGCCCCTTCTGCCCACCTGGTCAGCTGCCCCGCCTGCGCAGCAGCTGCTCGAAAGCCTGGCGTCCTGCGTCCCGGAAGGCACGCCCTTGTTCAGGCACGGCCGCCCGTTTGCATCGGTTCCCCTGCATAGTGACGCGGCTCCACCAAAAAGGAAGCCTTGGAGGGGACGCCAGAAGAGTTGCGCTGTGAGAATGAGGGGATGTTTCCCCCCCACTTTTGGGATACCAGGGAGCCTTCCCTGTCAGGTCAAGAAGTAGTCAAGTCATTGGGAGGCTCTTCAATTGGTACGCAGAAGTGGTCAATTCCCACAACCCTAATGGGTATTGGAGGGCTTTGTGCCCCGTTCGCTGAGGGCCCCTCAGTTGTGTTGGGACCAGGTGCCTTCTCTTGGCTCTTCCTACCCAATCGCAGGGCTACTTTTCACTTTTCTCACTTCCTGTGTGCGCTTTTGGGGCATCTTCCAGACCCCATTCTCTCTTTGGGCCCGCGCTGGGGCAACCACAGTTGCGCAGCCATGGGGACTCAATGAAGGCTCACAGGTATGGCAAAACGGGTGTGATATTTTTACTCACCAGCTTGACAACATGGACATCGAGCCAGAACGCATTATGAGCCCTCTCGCTGGCCCATCCAACCGCTGACCAGCAGAGGTTGTTTGGTCCCTCCTTGAAATTTGAGTTGGGCTTTCCTTTCCCTTGCAGGCAAGGCATCCCCTTCCGGATCAGCTCTTTTAGCCTCGTTCTGGCCTCGTCAGGCACCCAATGATCCCGCCGGACTGGCAGCACGAAGACATGAAAGTCGGGAGGTCCGGAAAGCGCCCGGACCGGCGCGAGCCCTCAGAGGCCAGGGTTGCAGCGCGGAGGGCAAGGGCGTGGCGTGAAGGGGGAGATTGGGGGTTGGCCGGCCTTCAAGCACGCCGCCTGACTGCTCATGTGGCGGCCTGTGGCGGCCTATTTGGCGACAAGCTCTGGACGTTGGCGGTTGTATGGGTGGAGTTTCTACAAGCCGGATGTGCAGCGACTTGTGAGTTCCAACGTGTTGCCGAGCAATTTTTCCGGCCTTGCAGAGTCAGGTTTGGGACCCGTGAAGGAAGGCCTTGGGGAGTCTGTATCCGGACTCCTCGTCTCTGTTGCTTTTCCACCGAGCTCTCAATTTTGAACCCACCCCCAGGCTCTTCTCAAGATATACATCCTGGGCAAAAGGACTTCCCGGGTGCTCTTTTCTCCTTCCTCTAAAAACAGCCCAAAAAAGCATATGCGGCTCCAGTGGCACCCTTTCAATCTTGCCAGGGAACGCTTTTACCATGATGTTGCATTTGAAGCGTTTGTCATGGATGGGCAATAGCCTAAAATAACTCTTTTTTGGAGGGGGCAAAGCTGAAATGGGTGCCCCACCATGGGTGTCCACAAGCAACCTGGGCCACCTGCCAGTGCGATGGCAGGTGGTGGAGGTGCCGTGCAATGCGTCCGAGCACTCTGCCCTCTTCAGGTGGGCGCGTTTGAGCCCTGCGGTGCTCGTTTCCCAAACCTCCAGTAGCTTGCGGGGGATCTGAGGACAGCTCAGAGTGGGTTGCTTCCTTCAATTTATTCCTTCCTTTTTCATGGGGTTCTTTTGAAAATCAACCGCCACAAAAGAGAGGGGCCCTGATTCTTATTGCGATGGCCACGGCCTGGGATTACGAAGGCATTCCGAACCTTGGTGAGTCTTTGCCCATTGCGATTGCAGAGTGTCACTGTGCGAACTGGGTGGGTCTGGACATAAAATCCACAAAGGAGGCAGGGCAGTAGTTTGGAATTTCTCTCCAAGGGAAACAGTTTGTCCAGAAAGGCACCACGCAACGAGGGGAAACGTCAGGTTGTCGAAAATAGAATGAACGGTGCAACAAATGGAGAATCAACCTCACCCGCTGGCGGGAAGTCTGAGCACATTACATCGCAACAAAGGTTTGGGTCGGCCGAATTCGCCCGAAAGGTTCCTCTCTTAGGGGGTCCATTCGTTGGTGAATCATCATGCTTCAAGAGTCTTGCTGCCAACTTCGGAGTCTAGTTACACCCTCAAAGTCGCAAATCCTTTGGCTTCCCTCATCCCTTTCCCACGTCTGGGATGGTGAACCTTTCCTACCATCAATCGCATGTCTTAATCAAAGGTTTCATGGCTGGTCACCAATGGTTTGAGTTGGTGATGGAGGAAGGTGGGCTTACCCTTGATAGCAAGAGAGAAGCCCATCATCCATCTCTTGTCTTTGGTCTGTCCCGCATTGGCGAGTGATAGGTAGGGAAGGGTAGACGAGTGAAAGGAAATCCGCTCACCTCCAATCATCACTTTCTTCCTCATATCCCGTCGCTCGGGAAATGTTCTCCACAAACAACAAAACAAGAGTTCTGTACTTCTGGAACCTCCATGAACTCCTAACAACTATAAATGGGTCTCCCAATCATTCAACTATAAATGGGTCTCCCAATCATTCAAATCTAATTTTGCATTGTTTATACCTTATGATTTACGTTTTTGCAAGTCATGGATCTCCTTTGAACACAACTTGCCCCCAGCGACAAGGACATACACGGAGCCCTGTAAAAGTCACCTGCAGCTCATGGCTCGGAAGCCTTGGAGGCATCTCATTGAGCTCTGGGACGACATCCGCTCCAAGAACGAGCCGACGTCCACTCACGTGCCCACACGGGTCCAGCGGAGCCTTCTGATGAGCTCAGGCAGGGTTAAATGTGTAAAGTTCTTTGCCTGTTGGATGCTTTCGTTTAAAGCCCCTATTTGACACCGGAGGCGGGAGAGCAGCACAGTGGCAGGTTTGGCCCCTGTGCTAGAATGAATTGGTTACGGCATTGCCCTGGGCAGACGAAAACACAACCGCACAAATCATCCCGTGAGAAAGGGATCCTTTCTTGAGGGGGCCATTCCTTGCTTCAGTTGGCGAATCGTAACTCATCCAGACGCGTTGCATGGTGCTTTGTTCCCAGACTACATGGTGGTCTCGCTGGCCAACAACCGCTTCTGCTTCAAGAAGGGCGTGTCACACAAGTCCAACGGCGTGCATCATGTCCAATAGCGAGGTTGACGCTTCCGCTGCGCATGTTACACACGACACACTCGTTTTTAACAATCATGGGAGCGGAACAAAACATTGTTCAAGAGGATTGTAGTTATTCAAGCCCCGTCATTGTTGGAAAGAGGGGAACACCCAGGATTTATGTTCATTCAAGAGGGCATCCAGGTTGATGAATCCGGAGTGAATACTCGTTCCCAAGCTCAGACAGTTCATTCATAGGTGGGTGTGGCTCAAAATTAAACAGGAGGGGCTACGCAGGTTTTGGTCCATGTGTCCACTTACCAGGGTTCCATTTTGGTCCCGGTTTTTTGAGCCACAGCCATGTGGGCCAGTGAGGTACCTGGTGATCAATCAAAAGCGGTGGGTGGCCTACCAGAAGTGCCACGATGTCGCTGACTGCCCTGAGTTCCGGTCTCACGAGTTCGCTCTGCCGGAGGCGGGGCTCAGCCCAAGGCGTCGGACCCCTTTCTCGCAATGCCTTTTTGTGGTCCAGACATTTCAACAACTCAGGGGCCAATTTTTCGGGGAAGGGGAGTTGAATTGTGGGCATGTGTCGAAACTCTGCAGTGGTTGCTTGAATTTGGTTCCTTTCACCAGTTGGCACAAACAGATGCCTGGTGTTGACGCACAGCACATGCAACGGGTCCAGGGATAGGGCTCGTGGGAGGGCACAAGGAAGGCATAGGAATTGAAATTTCTAGCGCTACCCCCCATGGATATGCAACCATTCTTTGAACAATGGAAGCTGTATTCATCGCAATTTGCAAGTGTGGGCAGTGCTCAGGAGTCCCCACCCTCAAGCAAAACATGGCAGGGGCGCGCACAATAAGAACCACCCCGTGTACGTTGCCTTTGTTTGTACCAACAAAATGCATGAAGTACCGTCAAAATCAACTTCTGTTGAGTTTAGTATTTGCCGTCTCATGCACATTGTGACATGCACAAAACCATGGCAAGCAATAGGGGGCTCTCAAGCTAAGTAGCGAAACGGCCGCAAGTAAGCAATTTCGACCGTGCCCTCACAAGTATAGGGGGCACGTTTTTTCCAGTTGGGGTGTGGAAGTTCCGAGTTGGCTGAGGAGCTGCGGCCGCCCGCTGAGCCAGACGCCGTGGCCGAGGATGCGGATGCGGAAGGCAAGGACGATCCCATCTCCCAGGACTCAGAGATCGAGACTGCTGTGCGTTTGGCATCTCTTGGGCTTTCCCGCTATGTGGTTTGGAGCAGGTGTCATGTGTGGCCTCCGGATTTTTTGGGAGAGGGCTGTTTTTTGTGATCACTTGGGCTTGTTCAGTAGTTTTTTGCATTTTAAGTGTCGCTAGATTTGGACCAAAGAGTCAAATGCAGTGGTGGGCAAAAGCTGAGGATCCGTTGAGAAGTTCTAGGGACCTCACAGAGAAATTTGGTCGTCCGAATTCACCCCGAGGTTAAAGTGCGAGCCTGCTCAGCTGTTTCTCCTTGGGTAGTGCTTGGCGTGCGGAAGCGGGTCAGATTGGCAGTGGAGTGATGGTCGCAGGTGCCGGGGCTTTTGCGAGGTGACAGGGACCGTAGTGACGAGCTAGATTACCCTAAAAGCTACCGCAAATCCAATGAGTTCTTACGCCCAGTTGTTTGTTTCAGGGCTGCAGTGTCCATAGCGGAACCAAATCTCCGTGCCGGTTCCTGCTGAAGGTCATAGAGTTTGTTCATTGCTTCGGCCACCCGCCCACCCACCCGCCCACCCCCTCCCTCCCTTCCAACCACCCACCCATCCTCCCTCCGGGCAACTACCGGCGTTGCCCAGCCAGACGATCGACTGGCCATTTCAGGAGTTGTTGACCCAGCTCATGCCAATCGAGGACGATCCAGTGACGCCTCCCCGACTGCCAATCCAAAGGCTCGAATGACCGAGTGTGGCGACTCATACACCGCGCCCTGCGCAGTGTTTTTTTTAGTGGTCAGCCCCTCTTGGTGGGAGCAAATTAGCGAGATATGGCTAGCGAGTTTTTTTTTGCGGACTTGCGAAGTGAACTACCCTGGTTGTCATCGTGCGATGGAACCCATCCAATCACAACTCATGTTGTGGGACGATGCCAATATATGACAATGAGGCAAGGGTGCCAACTGTGTGTCAGCATAAAGGGCAGGCACCAACCGAATGCTGTTGGCAGGCTTGCTTTGAGAAACTAGCGGACGGAAATTCAGCAGAAAGTAAGCCAAATCAGTATGTCATAATATATGTCCGCGCTGGACTAACCCTTGGCTGCAAGGCTGGAGAGAGCGCAAGCAAAAATAAATAAATATATGTAATATAGATGCACACATGGAATCATATTATATGGATATATACATGCATATTGTTTGGGGAATATTTGGCCAGCCAGCTGCAGTTTGTTCCGTAGCTGGCCCTTGTAAGGTGGCCAACAGACCCCAGCTACAGGCGTGCGTCCAGATCGCGGAGCGCCTCGCCCCTGGCGCCGTCGCGCAAGCAGCGCAAGCTGCGGAGGAAGAGGCGAGCGACGGGCCCGTGGAATTTCGCAGTGGACAAAATCCATCCGATCCATCAAAATCCATCAGTCGGGATGGATGGCCCCGATTGACAGCAGCAGGCGTTTGCCAATCCACTGTATGTCCGGTGCCTTCCATTGACCACCAAAGATTTAGACAAGCAATATTGTGGGGCACACCTATTCTGTTGTTCAAACCAGCTCAAGTTCGTGTGGGGTCGGATCTTGCGGGGAGCCTTCTACTTTTCGTTTCATGATCACTTCCAAGGGGCTCTGATTGAACGCTTAAAGGCGATGTTTGAATTCCGCTTTCTCCAGGTTTAGCATTTGGTTTGGGGAGATGGGGTTTCAAAACAAAGCCTACGATGGTGTTGACAAACACGCACGCGCAAAAAAGAACGCAAGCAACACAGGTGACGTTCCAGCCTGGTGCGCTGAGCCCAAAGCTTCCCTGAGATGGTTCAATCCTGTCACCTTCATTTCTGCCGGAGAGGCTGTGACGGGAGGGCTTATGTCGTTTCAGTTTGGACGGCGTTTCAAGGGTCGCGCCTTTGGGAAAGGCCAATGGGTGGTTCTCTTCTTGTGGGCTGATGAGGCTGGACAAACGCAGAATATATGTGAGAGCCCCGCCAAAGCGATCGGATTTGAAGGCTGTAAGGGCATGTAAGGCAAGCAGTTGGCCGGAGAAGGTCCTCACTGACCCCCAAGCTGCAACTAGGGAAAAGGGTGCAAAGTAGATTGACTCGCTTGTCAGCCATGCATGGAGAGGCATTCACCAGAGGATCGTTCGGCTGGGGAACCTCAGCCGAGTGGCCCGTCACAAGGGGGAAGGGACCGGCGAAACGAAAAGGGACGTGGGGGGGGGAAGAGGTTGCCTTTGCCCGCTAGATTTTCTGCAACCATGATTAAGTCTTGGGGCTGTTGTTTCCTGGAAGATTGCATGAGGCCTCCTCAAGGGCTGTTTGGATGACAAGATTCAAGGGCAACATGCCAAGAAGGGCTTGAAGCTTGGAATTCTTAGCGCATGCTTGTGTGATCCAAGGTGCAGAGGAAGACAATTCCACCGTGAGCAGTTGCTATTTGCATCGGCAAAAGTGCCTCATGAATCTTTGGCTGAAACTTTGGAGGGCATCTATTTTAGAGGGGTCCGTGCCAGTTTCCAAGGGGTCTCTGATGGGCGCGTGTCAGGTAGAGATGGGACGGGCTGTCAACGGGGGCCGCCTTTCCGGCGGGCAACCGCGACGGGGACCAGACTTTTCAACAAACGTCGCACGTGATGTTGCGCAAATTTGAGGAGGGATGCCAGCGGGCAATCCTGGCGCCGCAAAGTGGGTTTGAGCAAAGCCCCATCACTCATACAAATGGAACGGGCACCCGCCATTTGAGGGTACGTACTCAGCGGCCGCCGGCTTGGGTTCATGAAAGAACGTGGACGCGTTTTTGAGGGTTTGTTTTCGTTCTAACTCCAACAGCCAACCCAACCCACATAGCAATACCCTGAAACAGCTCTCTTTCTGGAAACTGGCACTCCATGCCTCATCCCGGGCCGCTGGCTGAGGCGGCTCCTTGCCTGAGTTGCAGTAGGAAGCCAGCTGAGTCCCAGTCGCCGGCGCTGCGCTTTTTGGAGTGCGCAAGTGGAGAGCAGCAACAGTGTGGAGGGACGCGGTTAGGTTTAAATTAATCTTGCACCATGAGTTCCTGTCGTTTTGAAGCGTTTTGAACCAATTCGGGATTTCTTCACTTCGGGAACCCGCCCCCCCCCCCCAAGAGGCATCTGGATTGATGGGGCCTAGTCCGACGGGTGTGAGTTTTCCAAGGGTTGCCCTTTCTCGCTTTCTGTCTCCCTTTCGCTTTTTCTCTCTCATTCGATCTTGTTGCATTGCCTGCACTTTTTTTTTGGTTGCCATTGTGCAAATGTGGCTTCAGACTGACTGGCTTGAAATGCAAGCAGATGTGTCACTGGCGCCACGGACTCTGCAGAGGCGAATTCGTTTGCAAGTGGGCTGGGCCGAAGACCGGGACGCTCTTCTTCCCCCAGACATGTGAGAAGTAAGTGGAGGTTGGTGCAAGCGGGCAGAGGCAAGGAAGGCTACGGACGGTCTCATCTTTCGGGCGTGGCCTTGCCACCAAGGCCTAAAGACTGAGCATGGCGCTGTGGGTTAGATTGAAACCAAATCTAAGAGCAATCTGTGCGCGATCCTTTACCCACGTATCCCATGTATCGCTCGACTTCTTCTGTCTCCACGGTCTTTGGCAAAGTCGGGGCAGATAATGCACAGCCGCAGGCAGCTCGCCTTGCCGCGGCCTTTGGGCAAAGCTTGAAGAGTCCAGCCTGCAAAAAGGGCGGCTTAATGCCGAGCATTGGCCACCGCATCGCGCCTCGTCCGAGGCTGGAACACGGAAGGCTTCCCGGTTTCAGCGCGCAGTGAGGCCCTGTGCAGAATATGGCCATGTCCGGGGCGCTCGCTTCAAAGGTTTAAGACTCGAAACCTAGAAGCTTCAAAACAGCCATTGCCTTATATTCACTTCTGGGAATTTGGGCTTTGCCTGCGAGATTCTTGGTCTAGATTTCACGCGATTGAAAAGCTTTAGCAATGAAGCTTGCCTTTTGATCAGTTTCTTTTTTGTTTTTTTAATACACATATTTTTCTGTATATATATATATATATATTTTGTATTTATTGTTTTTTGGGGGGGAAGGGGCAAAGACTGCCCTTCGCCTTCGCCTGCGCGCAGGTTATTCCGCTTCCACCAAGTTTCTAGAGATGACGCGGTGGGAGTTGGAGGCGTGCGCCGTGTCTCTTGCTGAGTCTCCGTTGCCCAGTGGCGCCCGTTCTTTTTTAGGGGGGGTAAGGGTTGCCCTGAAAACTCAACCAACAGAAAAAAAGGGTGCCCTTTTTTGTCCCAGGGCCGCTGCGCATCTGAGGAGTTGTGGCAAGTTATTCAATATGGTGTGACCAGATCTTATGGCGTCGTTGCTGTGCGAGTCGGGTGGTCGACATTGGTGTTTAGTGGCTGCGTGCAGGATTCTTGTTGGGATGCCTTACGCAAATATATGGCCAAATTTGTTCCACATCGAGGAGGACCAATGCAGGGCCCAAGCAATCCCCTTTTCGAGGTAAACATGTTGGCCACGAATGTGCTGTCAGCCGAGTTGAAGGATTACCTGATTGCGAAGCCTATCGCTTGCAATGGCGCATTTTGAGTTTGAGGATCTAGCGCCACTGTTTGGGAGCCCGCATGTCAATGCATTTGCGCGTTTCAAGTCCAGACGGGATCGGTGAGTTTGGGCTGTGTTCTTGATTGGGCAGACCCTTGCATGGTCGAGCAGGGGGCAGATAGTGGGCCACAAGGATGTGCAGCAAATTGGTGAGAAGGAAGCAAATTTCCAACAGGCCCCCACGTCAGTAAGAAGCCATCCATTTTGCAAAGGATTTGGGGTGGTTTTCGTTGCCACTGCGACAGTGGGATGGGAGACCGGAGGGCGATGATTTTGGGCACTCAGTGGAGCATTGTGCTTATGTTAATTTTGTTTCTTCCTGACTTGTTGGTTGGTCTACTTCCTGTTTGGCTGAAGGGTTCCGAGGGGTTGATTTTCCAGCCACATGGCATAGAACGTGCTGCACAAACTTGTGTCAAACTTGTCGTTCATGCAAGGGGACCTTCTTTCAATCTCTATGTTGCGAGTTTTTTGTTTGTGGGTATAGCGACGGGCCCGCGGCGCGTGGACCTGCCTTCATGCCAGGGAGGAAGAAGCCCAAGGTGCACCCATTGGTGGGTGGGAGGGCCAAGCAGGGGAATGGGAGAAGGGCGGCGATTTGGAGGTTGGTCTTGAGGTGCTGTTCTTAGTAGATGTGTTGGGCCAGGTTTACTCCACTAAGAATTCAGCGAATCGGCAGTTTTATAGTAATTACTTGTGGTCATGGTCACCCAAAAAGCGCCGTATACTGTATATTTCAGTCCTTGTTCGAGCAAGCAGGAGGGTGAAGCAATCGGAAGCTAGTCTTTCTTCGGTTTGGCCACTTTGGTAGCACCCTTTCCCCTCTAGAATTCGAGTGTCCAAAGCCTGACAGGTTTCTGGCAGCATGTTGAGTTCATCACAGGTTCAATCTAGACCAACTAAAGCGCCAACCTTGGCTGAGCACTTTCCTGAGTTGCTGCTTTGGTGAGAATGTGCCAGCTAGCCATATAGCTTGATATTTGGATACTCCTGGATAGTTGCAATCTGCTTTGCTACATTCATTTCAAAAGAGGTATGGCACTTCTTTCGTTCATTGTCTTATTGCAGGCTGCTGGGTGTGTTTTTGAGGTTCCCCTTTTTGGTTTGGGCAAAGGGGCCAACATCGAAATGAAAACCAGCTTCTTAGGGGGGTCCCGCACTTTGACACATCCTGCCTGAAAGCACCTGGAGCCGCCCAGCTGCCCCGGCCGAGGTGGTTTGTTCACAAATCTTCTCAAGGACCTTTGCTGGGACAGCCCTGGCGCCGCTGCCTCGGGCAACTGCTGTCGGGTGGTTTCAGTGGGTCCCGGGTTCCGGGGCCAGTACAATCTTGTTGGGTGTCTTTTCCTGCCTGATGCCCGAGTGGCCAGTCTCTTGGCGAAGCAAGGGTCATTTTGACATATTGTTTGATGAACGCCTCAGGGCTTCCACTGAAGGGAGACGCCCATGTTTGCACACAGAAATGCACCGCCCTGGGCCCTTGGCTGCACGTTGTTTGCGGTCCATGTTGACCAGCCCTTCGTTTGGGGGTGTGGACAGGGATCCATATTTTGACCGCACATAAGGCAAGTAACACTTATGAATGCCAGTTGCAGCGATCAGGGCTGGCTTGCGCAAAACGGACAGGCTATTTTAGATGTCTTCCTGTTTTGGGACACTCACAGCCGGGTGTGGCAAGAAATGGCGCTAGTCGCATGCATTTCACTGGTGGTCGCCCTCTTTGGGCAGGAAACGAACTTGAGCCTAGTGGCTTGGGGGCGTTGCAAGGTGGAGATTTACAGGGGCAGCTGAGT